AGGAAAAAAAAGCTTGCTTTGTATGGAAAAACAGTTCACTTACAGTATAATGTAAAAACGTTTCAAAATTAAGCACCGCTGAAACATAGATATTTAAAGCGACAGCACCTTCTTACACACTGAGCATTTTTCAAAGGAAAATAAATTCTGTGTATTAAGAGAAATTAAGAATAAGCCACATTATAATGTTACAAAGAATAATGGCTTTCATTATGAAAGAAAAAGCCTTAATAATTTAAGAGCATAAAGGTAAAAAAAATTAAATATTTTTGCATTTTACTCAAAAGAAGATACTCTCAATTGTATAGCTTCGACCCCACCTAGTATCTGTGTACAGCTTGAAATAGCAGGGCTTGATCTTGAATCCTGCTGCAAATTGCAAATAACAGAACTTCAGTGGCATAGTTAAAGCCAGCCATACAGAGGGAAGGATCCTTAGCCTCAGAGGAAGAGCACCCTGGACCTGCAGATTCCTGCTGGAGCACAGCATCAGCTACCTGATGCAGGGCTGCCCCTCCAGTCCCCCTGGGCCTGGGCCCTCAAGGGCTCTGCCAGTCTCTCCACGGGCTACTGTGCCATGCCCATCACCCACGTGCTGCTCGGGAGCAGGTGCTGGCTGCAGAGTGCGAGCCCTGGCCAGCCCTTCCAGAGGCGGAGAGGAGGGTACCTGTGCAGGCTCCCCTCTGCTTGCATGTTCAGGTTTCTCTCCTAAAAACGTGCATGAGCACTGCTGAAGAGAAAAACAGATATGAGAAAACTCCCATGCTATATATACTGCTACACTTTCTTTCCATTCAGTAACTCCTTCCATTAAACCTTTTACCATATATGCACTACTTAGAGCTTGTATTTTTAACCACTTCTCACATCATTTGCTGGTGTCACTTGCCCTGCTAGACTGCTCCTTTGGCATCACAGCCCTCCTTCTGGAAGGGACTTTGCTCAGCAGTAAAGCAGAGAGGTGGCCTCTCCAATGTTTTGGGAAAGGGAAATGAGGAAAAGCAATCAAAAGGAGCCCAAAGTAATCCCTTGTCTCCTTTTTCAGCCACCTTCTGCTATGATAACAATCCAGGCTGTAGACACTGCTGTTTATATGAGCGTGGAAGTGATGAAGGCATTATCACTGTTGGGCTGTGGGTCTTTCCTCAGCAGTCAGGCAGGAGGAGCAGGATGATTACAAATGTAAAAAGACCCTTGCAAATCACCCATGGCAAATGTAACAGCAGGAAAAAAGGGTAAACCAAATGTAATTATGGAAGTGATACCATCCCCAAATTTCAGAAGTCTCCCTTTTACCTTCAGTTTGATGAACTGAAGCTTTAATCCTGACCGTTAATTCAGACCTATAAAGAAAGACTGCTAAATCCCTAAGAAATATCTGGAGAAATTTAACTATAGATTTTTATTTTTATTTTTATTTTTTGTCTCAGAACCCTTGAAGAATTTATTTTATTGTAGCACTGAACCTTTTGGAAACAGAGATCTTGTTATAAAGTGAATGTGTAACCATAATAAGTCAGATCCTAGGGTCTCAATTTGGTTTTAGAACAGGCCAAACTCTGATTTCAAAATGAGCTTGTCTGAGAACAGTGACCTCTTAAAAACTGCAGGATTCATACCACTTGTGCTGTGTGATCGTAACAAACTAGTTGTGAATGTGGAGAGAATTCAGAAAAGCTTCGTTTTTTCCTAATGTGAAAGCATGCTTTTTATCCTCAACCTTGCACTATTCCCAGTCTCCTTCTAAAAAGACCTATGAAAGGGAAAGTGTTTTTTAATTGCTATAAAACCTTTTATTAGCTATGCAGGTTTCAGGATTTTGTTTCATTCAGAAATATTAGGTTCAGATAAGCTCCCTGCATCTTTTCCTTTAGACTCTTAACCCACCATTTGTTTCTGAAAATGTAGCTAACGACATCCAGAGAGGCTGTTATTGTAGCTAACAACCTACAAGGAGCCTGTTATCCCTGCAGAAGGACATGTCTTAGGCTACCTTGTTCAAACTCACTTCCCTTAAGTAAAGAAAAAGAAAGTAGTACTCATGTACTTTCACCATACCGTTCAAATATTTTTAGTAATGAGGAAGAATTCTACTTTCACACATGGAGGAGCATTTGAAAAGCTATTTAAGAGGGTTTTTGAGGTCCTGTTCCTTTCATGTAATATTTGTCAAAAAGACTGCTTGCATCACTGCTTGCATCTGGCCAGTGCAAAAGGTAATGTGAATATTTGCTGTTGCAGATACGTCACTTTGTAACTATTTTCAACTCCCACTAGGATGGAAATAGCAGAATGTGAAATACCATGCGCTAGCACTTAACAGTGCTAGGTTATTCTGTAATTCAGGGCTGCCTGGATTTTTAGATTAGATAGGTCATACAGCTTTTTCCACTGTTGAGCCAGGTCTGCACACCCTACCTGCTTTCTCCAGGTAGGAGAATGACCAGACCAGGTTTTTTGTCCATTTCCAACACAGATGAGCTTCTCATGCACCCAGCACAGTTGATCTGCCATGCAGAGGACCCCTGGTAAAGCCAGAACTGCTGTCTATGCCCAGCTTGGTTTCTCAAGAATGCAAAATAAGTATGGCAATTCCCAGCAATCCATGCTTATTCCAGACAGAAGTCTGTGAGCTCTGGGGAAAGAGAGCAGCTGGGAAGAAGGTCTTCTGCAGCTTGATCTAAACCACATTTTATTTTACCAAGGTTTGCTTGGGTAGAGGCAGCAAGCAGAATGGGTTGAATGGAGAATCTTGGTTGGCAGCAACCAGCAACCCACCCTTGGCACATCACCTGCCTTCAGGTTCCCTTTAAGTCCAGTTCCCCCTCAGAAAGGATTTATCAGGACTGGAAGGGATAACCTAAAGTTAGAAGCTGGCTTTAGAAGGGAGAGTCAGGGGGAATAAAGCCAGAGTCTGGCTGGTTCTCACAGCCCTTAGAAGTATCCATTATCTGAGAGAAAACTCCGTAACACCCTATGTACAAGGCAACCAGCCTTTTGGACTTCCTTTGGACTGGAGGGATGTCACTGTATGACTCCTCATGCTCTGAAACTGAGTCAGGAGTGACATTGGTGTCTATCACCTGACCTCTGTTCAAATACAGCTGGCAGCTTTGATATAGTTTGATTACCAGAATGGAAAAGAACCCAGCATTAGCCATTCAGTCATTATTAAATGAATCAATTAAAAAATAATAGAAAAAGAGTACTTTCATCATGCCTCACAGTACTGGTCAGCTTGTTCTATCTTTTTTATGAACTACTTCCTTAAAAGAGGAAATTAATGTAACTCACTCTGAAGACTGGCGTCAGCTTCTCTCAGTCTGTGAGAAGCAGTTAACACAAACCATGTGTTTCCATATCTCAGTGACAGTTAAAGTCTACAATTTCACACTCTCACTTAGTGGGAAAACAAAACCAAAACACTATGCCCTTTGGACACTATAATTCAGAAATGTCTCTCTCTTTGACCTGGGAATGCCACGAGGGAAAGCTGAATGTGTCAGTGCTAGTACTTCACAGAGAAGAAAAGCAACAGGTAGCTCAAGGGGCAGCATGGCCTGCCTACAAACTTCAGAAATCAGCAACTCTTCAATTTGCAAGTGAGCACGAGGTAGATGTCTCTTGTGATTTTGCTCCAGTCCTGTCTCACCTGAGAATGGGAGAATAGGGAAATGGTCAGGGAGCCTATAGTGGTAAATTCAGTTGCAGTGGGAAGCGAGGAGAAGACCCTTGCTACAAAGAGGGCAACTTTTCCTGTTATGTGTCCTGCTACTTCTGTTTTAATCACCATTTTCTGGTCTTAGGCTGCAAAGTTACAGTTCACTGACAAGAAGAATTGCTGCACAGAAAATTTGGTAAACAACTGTGGGTAGATCAAGAATAATATTAATGACAAATTGATAATTATGAATACAGTTTCTTTCTCACTAAGGCCAGATATCTATATATTGCAAATCTCTGACCCCAGTCCATCCTGGCCTCCATGCTGAGAAGGAACAAAAGACATCATTAGGGCTTTTTTTTGTTAAGAAAATAGAAAAGTACCTCTCTTGAAAAAATTATATCACCACCATCCCCCAGCTAATTCATTCTCTCTTAACTTCTTCATGCTCTAGTGATCAAATCATTAAACAGCCCTCATTATTCATTCCAACTTCTGCCAGGGATATGAGCTCTGTATCCGAGAAACACCTCCTCACCATCACAATCATCATAATGACATCTTAGCAAGTTGATACAATTATGCCAGAGAACCATCCCATAATTATACAGTTCTTTAGCTCATTTCTTAGTGTATTCACCATTACTATAATCACAGCAAGTACAGTGCCTTAAATTAGGAACAGGATCTACAGCTAACAGGATGAAAAGTCTGCCTGCTGCAATTCTTCAATTCTTTACAATATAAATCTGAAAACTTTTTAAAGTGGAGGTTCATATTTTAGGCATGTGTTTGTTTTTGAAACAATAGATATTTACAAACTCATTTTAAGATGCAAATGAAGGATGTATTGTTATGGAGGGAGAGTGTAAACCTCTTCCCCACATAATTTTCAAAGTATTGCTAAAGAACAGGTAGCACTGGACCTTATTTCCTAACCAGATATTAGGTGTAGATTTTTTTGCATATGGTACATATTGGACTGCCATCATAAAGCATTTTTGCCTTTCAGCTCACAGTGATCACAAAGACAGCTGAAGCAAACCTTGGCAGCCACTGATGCTTATTTGCCATGAGATCCATTAATCCTTTACATTGTTGCTATGAAAAATGGTCTGGTTAAAATATGCTGGAAAACAGGCAAGTGTATTTTCACAAAATATAAACTGAGGAGGGGGTGAAGGATGGTTAGAACAGAAAATCCATAAAAATTAGAGAACCAAATAGAAAACCTAGGGCACTTCACGCCTGTGGAAAAAGTAACAGAAGTCTCTTTAACAAAATCAAGCAGACATACTAACAAGCTCTTCCTGTCTATTTCCATTTACCAAATCAGGCACAGCCAAGAAAATGTTGCACTTTGAGATTTCCAAGGAAGGCAGTGAATTATCGGTGGTGGAGCATGCTGAAGTGTGGCTCTTCCTGAAGGTCTCCAAGGCCAACCGGAGCAGGACAAAAGTCACCATCCGCCTGTTCCAACAGCAGCGACAGCCAAAAGGCAATTCTGAAGGAGCAGAAGATACAGAGGATGGGGGGCTGAAAGGTGAAAAGAGTGAGACTTTGATTTCAGAAAAGGCAGTGGACACTCGTAAGAGCACTTGGCACATCTTCCCTGTCTCCAGCAGTGTCCAGAGACTCCTGGACCAAGGCAAGAACTCTTTGGATGTGCGGATTGCCTGTGACCTTTGTCAAGAGACTGGAGCCAACCTGGTGCTACTGGGCAAGAAGAAGAAAAAGGAAGATGATGGGGAAGGGAAAGAAAAGGAAGCTGGAGAATTCACAGGAGAAGAGGAGAAGGAGCAATCACATCGGCCCTTCTTGATGATGCTTGCCCGGCACTCAGAGGATCGCCAGCACAGGCGGCGAAGACGAGGCCTGGAGTGTGATGGCAAAGTCAACATCTGCTGCAAGAAGCAGTTCTTTGTCAGCTTCAAGGACATAGGGTGGAGTGACTGGATCATTGCTCCTACAGGTTATCATGCCAACTACTGCGAAGGAGAGTGTCCCAGCCATATAGCAGGCACATCTGGCTCATCATTATCTTTCCACTCCACTGTCATCAACCACTACCGCATGCGGGGCCATAGCCCCTTTGCCAACCTCAAATCATGCTGTGTGCCCACCAAGCTCCGGCCTATGTCCATGCTCTACTATGACGATGGCCAGAACATCATTAAGAAAGACATACAGAATATGATTGTGGAGGAGTGTGGCTGTTCGTAGATGCTAGTGTGCACAAGACCCTTCTTGTTAAGTAGAAAATGTATCAAAAGCCCAAGAAGAGGAAAGACCTGACACGGTATAATATTTTTTGAGTGAAACAATCATCAGAAATATAAGCAAAAATAGAAGAGAGCAAGAAAAGGGAGAGAAAGAAGAAGAAAAAAAAAGACTTATGGAAGATCAGGAAAGACTTCAGCTACAAAAAAGGAAGAAAATGTCATGAAGATGGGCTTGAACAAGATAGGTCAAAATGGTGGTATGGATTGGGGATTTCCCCTTCCTTTCAGTATGCTCCTTATCTTGTTACATAGTATACTAAACACTAGTTACTACTAGGGGAAGGAAGTTTTGTTCCCTCCCTTAGTTACCCATCAGGTCAAGCCATGGTAGCAGCTCATCTAACCTGCAGAAATTTGGACAAAGTCCAAAAGGTCAATGAAAAGCCATGTGTATGATCACTGCAGTCACTGGCGCTTTCCCCCCACATTTACAGAGCAACTGAGTCGGTGTATAGTGTTTGTGTTTGTATATATATTGCTATGTATTTATATACATGTCTCTATACATACAGACACAATACACATACTTAACATTGATCAAGGGTCAATAGTGTGCAGGGTGTGTACACCTTCATCTTCTGCACTACATTTACAAAAAAAAAAAAAAGAAGAAAAAAGGAAAAAAGAAAAATGAAGAAAAAAACAGAACAAAAAAATTAATGAAAGAATAAAAGTTACATTCTGTAAAGGTGCTTACAATGTTAGAACTATGCAACCTAGATGGTTTGAAACTGTTTACCTGCAAGAGAAAGAAAAAAAAAACAGAGAGACTTTTTTTTAAAATGGAAGTAACTTGTTTAAAAAAAAATCTTTGGTGAGAGATACTTGAAAGGAACATGTTTGTCCAGTTGCTGGAGTCAAACATTTCTATATTTTGTAAAAAAAATTTTTAATCGTTTACTATTTGCACTACAATGGTGTCTGACCTGTCTAATCCTTATTTAACAAATATTTGCAAGGGAGGGTGGTTGGGTGTGGGAGGGGTTGAGAGCTGCACTTATTGTGAGCTATACAAGAACTGCTACAGCACACAAAATAGCTATTTTTATTATTATAATAATTATTATTATTTTGTACCTTAAAATGAATAGACACATACACCAAAGACATTTGTGCAAGCCTCTATAAAGTCTGTTTGTGGTTGGTACCATTCACCTGTAATGAGTTAGGGTTTGAATTAAGTCAGTGGGTTGATTACATTCAGGCTAGAATGTTAACCAGTTAAATTCAAATAGTGCCCTCAACAAAAAATCACCATTTGAAGTAAGCCCAGAAAATCCCTGGGATTTGGATCCAAAGTGCTTGGATCTGAGCTCCATCTGAGCATAATCATAATGTTTTGTATGTATAACACTAAACTCGGCCCTTATGCACAGCAAATGTGCATTGTAGGGAAACAACTTGGTCCAAGGGATATACATACATATGTATATATTTCTGTATGTATATATGTATGTATACACAAGGTATAAGCACTTCTGGCTTCATTTTACTGTTCTTAAAACAATGAATGTTTGTGTGCAAAGCACAGTATGTTAAAAGATTTTTTGTTTCTTACTGCCAAGTGGGAGGCTATGTGTTCAAAATGGTATTTGTGCAAGAGAAACCTAAAGTGCTGGTATACACTTAAAAAGTGTTGATGTAAAATTACAAGCAGCCTTGGGCCCTGTCCACCATTGCTCCTGCAAACATAGAGAAAATGGCAATTGTGGTTGCATTTCTGTTTGAAATACAGTCTTTGCTGAAATGCTGGCTTTCTCAACCACCACCCTCTAGCATGACAACTCTTAATGGGTTTGCGTGTTACCTGTAAGACCTAATTTTCAGTGTCAACACCTAACCTGAAGGGTCCAACCCGTAGGGCATAGGTAGATAGTTGTTTTTTAAAAAATTTTCGCTGTCATATTTAAAAGAATGTTAAACTTACATTTGTCTTTGGGTAGGGGGAGATGATAAGAGGGAACGGGAGAAACCTTTAGGCCCTGTTTACACTGAGTTTGATAACCCTGAGCCTGAAGCTTCAGACTCTCCTAGGTTTGCTGAACCAAGCCCCTGTTAGTTGCCTTCTGAGGGGACAGGCTTCTAAATGCCTCTCCTGGAAAGAAGTACTAACACAGCTCCCCATCTTGCTGAGAGCACAGTCTGTTAAAAAAAAAAAAAAAAAGAAAAAGAAAAAAAAGAAAAAAGATAGCACAATATAACCCAGTCACACTGGCTAGGGATAGTGTGTTAGCACCTTCATGGCAAGAACCATGTTTAAACAGTGTAATCAGGGCCTTCATTTTTTGTCAGCCAAAACTGTTTGTGTGTGCATGTGTGCGTGTGTGTTCTCTGCGTGTGCAGATGTGTGTGCGCATGGGCGCATGTCTGTATTTGTATGTATCTATAGAGATAAAAATGAAAAGGGAAAAAAAAAAGAAAAAAAAGAAAGAAAGAAAAAAAAATAGCCCTTTCCTCTGTTGAATAAGTATCAACATACATGCATATAGCTAAGTTTTCTATCTAATTTATTCCACAATATTTAGATTGCATAGTACAGCTAATGGGTTATACATTTATGTACTTTTTATACAACACAGTTTTTTTACAGACTTGTTTGCAATTTGCAAAAAAAAAAGTTGAAAAAATATAATTGGTTAAACACTAAATTTGTCACTGAAGTGTTCTGTAAAATATCAAGGCTTTCTGATTTAAATTATTTACAGAAGTTTGTTGGGTTTTTTGTGTTTTCTTCCTGGGGAAAGTGAGGGATACCAAATGCTAGTAGGAAAATTTTCAGGAAAAAAAAAGGATGGACAACTAATTTATCTTTATAAATTTAACGAAGTTCTTGGCCTTGCTTATTTGAAGCATGTGGCAGAATTTCTGTCAATTTTTCTAGAAGCAGAGCCAGCCTTTGGAGCAGCAGGAACAGGGACACAGTCTGTGAGAGTTGTTGAGGATACCATTTAGTTCACTGGTCTTTGTACTTGGCCTTAAAATTGGGTGCCCCAGAACTCTTATTTATATCATCAGATGTCCCAGAATGGTTACTTGTGTCAACAGGCCCTTTGATGTCAACTGGCCTCCTTACAAGATCAGTAAAACTACTTACATGAGTAAAGCTGTGCCAGGGTGAATGACAGGTTCCTTCTGCTGTGGGCACTATCAAGGGAGAGAAAGGATTCTGAGTGAATGGCACCACAGCCAATGCTGTTTAATCCAATTATTTGAATGAGGCTGTTTGCATCATGGTGGATCTGAACACAGTGGTAAGGGAAACAGGTCAGATGGCCACATTGATAAAATTTATTCTCAACAGTGATTGCTTAGAGAGCATTGGAGACCAGAAATCCCCAAACCTTCCCCTAGATGACAATGGCAAAACTCCCATTGGCTGCTAGCAAAGTCGGTTTAGAAAAACTCATGGTTTTTCTGGCTAAAGGAGAAAGACCCTTTAAAAAATAATTCTCATCCTGAATTTGATAGCAGATGTAATGTGATGAATAGGGACTGGCCTGAAAAACATGAAACTAGCCTGAGACAACTTCCAAGTGAGGAAAGAATATAGGATTTTAGATATTGTGAGCATGTTTCATGATAGCTATACCAAAAACAGAAAAAAGTTTTCAAATCAAGAAGTAAGTGTTCCAAGCCCTACTTTTTTAGCTTGCATTTGTATGTGTATACTGGCCACAAATTTAAAAGATTTCTCCCTCCAATCTCTAGCATCAGTCATGGGGTTTTGATTTGTGGTCAGAGTTATTTAAAGTAGGGGGAAATGAAAAACTGTATGATAAAGTAAAATAAGAAATTTGGATGTTAATCAAGACTGAATGATTCCAGCAAAATAGCCCATCCCTGATAATTTGATTTAATTAAATCTTCATGTACTTAAAATAGCATTAGAAATTGTTACCATATTTAAGCAGTTGTTCTAGGTCATGCAGCCTTAAAAATTACTTCTACTTTCAGGTATGACTGTACCAAAAAAAAGAAAGAAAGGCTCTTAACTACTAACACATTCCTTTCCATATAACCTACTTACTGTTTATATTGAAAATACATTTTCAGTATATATTTAATCACAGAAATGTATTTGTTTAGTGCCTCCATAATCTTATTGCTTGAGAGCTGACCACATTTGGTTGTCTTTCACATCTCCATGTCAGATGCTCTGGTTACAAAGCCTAAGAAACTGGCATAAGTGCATGCTAAGATGTTTCTTTGAGAGGGCTGAATGTATTTGTATCCTTTAGATTTAGCAAAAGGAAATGCTTACAGATGCTTGTAATTATTATGCACTCATGGTCTAGTGCCCAAAACTGTAAAATTGAATGAAATGGGAGTTTTGTCATTGACTTCAATAGAAACACTCTCCTACCAAATCACTACAGAGTCGGGCTGCATTATATATACCTCCTTTTTTTTTGTATTTAGTTGAGAAATAAGCTGTCAAATTCATTTAACAGTGACACCACAAGACCATGTAGAGGCTAGCAGCAATATCTCTTAGGCAGAGAACTTCAGGCATCTGTAAAGTTTATGTGCAAAATTAAAAATTGATGGACTATAGTTACTCATGTGGAATTGTGCCTTACTCTGTAAGCAATGCCATTGATTTTCAGAGGGTCTCCTTTCCTAGAAAGTTACCAGTCAGCATCAATAAATTGAGAAAAATCTATTTCTGAAGTATAGGTAGATACAATGGAAATTATTAAGTTCTTTAAGTTAAACCTCATGTCAATAGTGTACATCAGTATAAGAAACAGATGCTAATCCCTTTTCTTACACTGAAAAAAGCTTTACTCCCCCATATGCTCTCATTGCATTACATGTGGAGTAAAACGTTTTCAGCATGAGTAAATAAAATCATAATTTGATCTTCTGTGAACAACTAGAAACAAGGTTTTCATGGGCGAAACAAGCAGCACTTCTGGGTTTTATAGCTATTTATTTTTTGAGATATAATGAATTTGTTAATTCTCAATGGGTTTCTTTGTATTTAAATACTTTCAAAAACAACACATTGACAATGGGTTGAAGATACATATATACATACATATATTCTATATGTATGTATATATATATCTTCATAATAATATGCATATATAAATATAATACAATTTAATATGACATAACATATAATATTACGTTATATTACATTGAATTATATTATATATATACATATTATATATATGTCTACAGTATATATATATACACACACAGCTATATATATGTATATACATATATATAAATTATGAAAGCCAAGATATTATGAAGCCTATTTTGTTTTTATCATTTTGTGTTTTGTTGTTGATATTATTATTATTATTGTTATTATTATTATTTTGCATAATACATGCAGTGCTTTAACCAATGTCTGTTTGGCTAATGTAATTAAAGTTGTTAATTTATATGAGTACATTTCAACTATGTCAATGGTTTCTTAATATTTATTGTGTAGAAGGACTGGTATTTTTTTTATTTACATTATGTTTAAAGAGGTAACAGTTTGATATGTTCTCATTTGTTTATATTAGAAGTTATTTATTTTC